CCACGAGCTCTTTGCGGCCAACAGCCGGCGCGAGATCGAGTCCGGGACCGCGCCCCTCGGCACCGAGGCCGCCTTGTCGCCGGACGTGCTGCACTTCTTCGCCGACCACCTCAAGCGCAAGTACGCGGTGTTTCTGATCCTGGCGCTCGCGCATGGCATTGCGGAAGAGTACATCCGAGAGGCGCATGAGCGCATGTGTGCCGAGAACGAAGCGACGTTTGCAGGCGTCGGCGCGGGCACCGGCGACGAACTCCAGGAGGTGCGCGATGGCCAATATGGGTTTGCCGACGACGCGTCGATCGACTTGTACGACAAGTACCGCACCGCGGCGCTCAACTACTACCGCATGAATTACGGCGACCCGTCCGCGGCCGAGGAGGAGGACGCGATCATGCACCTGCCCGTGATGCTCCACGTCGCCCTCATTCGGCAGGAGCGCGACGAAGCGTCGGCGCTGCTCGAGATCCTCCAGACCGTCAAGCGCCGCCTTTTAGAGCACACGGCGTCCGAGGCCGCGTCCAACAACGAATCGACGACGTGACAGGATTTAGTCGGGATCGCAATAAGATATAGCCAAGATGTTGCTCTTATAACGTCTCAGTGGTGGTCGTACAGGAAATGAACAGTGCAAGAAAGGAAACAGGGTTTGTACGTGGAGCGCTGGCCATGGCGTCGAGACGGGCGTGCTACTCCGAGCTTGTGGGGGCGGGATCTCGCGTTGCTGTAAAAAGAGAAAAAGGACAGGCACCGAGAGTAAGGAGACAAGTGTCGTCTCCGGTCAGAAATATATATTTTCTTTGGTTGCTGCAAAGTGCCTTATACCCAGAAAACTCACCACGTACCATACATAATTTTGGACCCCACTTCGATCCTCGCTGCGCGCCTTCTTTTTGGGCACACGTTGAGGACAAAAATTACATTTGGATACGGAGACCACAAGGAGATGAGCGCCAAACCAGTACTGCTTTGCTTTACTCGATACTAACGCGTGTATTAACCCACTCTCCTGGCTACGAAGACGCTTGCTTGGGCTCGACGGCGGTCATCTGTGTACGTGTGCACTCGATTTTATTTCCGGACGGGTGATGTTGGCACCGTATTAACTTTTTCGCGTTGGAGAGCCGCCAAGTCAGTAATGCGTTAGTATCGAGTAAAGCAAAGCAGTACTGGTTTGGCGCTTATCTCCTTGTGGTCTCCGTATCCAAATGTAATTTTTGTCCTCAACGTGTGCCCAAAAAGAAGGCGCGCAGCGAGGATCGAAGTGGGGTCCAAAATTATGTATGGTACTTGGTCAGTTTCGTTTAACCCAGGCACTATGCAGCAACCGAAGAAACGAATGTCCTATAAGCACTCTCATCGCGGTGCCTGTACTTTTTCTCTTTTTGTAGCAACCCGAGACCCCCGGCCCTTTCAACATTATAGAAGCTCTGACAAAGACATAACACTTGTCCAAAGCTCAACTCGAGAAAATTATTTCCTATGCTCACGTGCACCGCCACACAAAACAGAGACTGCCCACGCAGACAGTTGAACATTACGATATCGCATGCATGCTTCCTCCAGCGACCTCGTTGGCAGCGATCTGCACGTGCAGGTCTTGCACGAGCCGGCGAAAGCCAGGGTCGTACATGAACATCGACGCCATCTCGTCCAGCGACGGCGGGTCAGCCTCGTTGTCGGTGGTGGCAGGCATGGCCGCAGCGGCGGGCAGCAGGCGGCAGTCGGGAAACCGGATGCGGAGCTGGTCGGTGCATGCGTCGACGCCGACGCTGTCTGCGAAGCGAACGCTACACACAGACGACTGTCGCGACACGGACGACGATGCTGATGAGGAGGGTACGTTGTCTCGTGGGCGTTGGGGAGGTAAAGCCGGAGGAGCCGTCGCTTCTGCACGAGATGGTCGGGCGCGGGCAGGCGCTGGCCCGCGATGGCCACGCCGTCCGCGTCGATGCGCAAAAGCACCTTCTTCCGGAGCACTTGCAGCCCGCTCGGGCCATGCTGGACGAGCTGGATGCGGAAGGTCGACGACTTTTCCATGGCAGCGTCAAGAAGGCGATTGGCAGAAATGGGCCGCGAATCTTTGGCACACGCGAATGAAACGTCATGAAATTCTGTCTTTTGCGCCAATGGCCGCGATGCACCAAGGAAGATCGCCAGGAGGAGAGCGCATGAAGCTACTTCGTTCGCTGCACGATCACACGCCCCATGCCCCATGGACGAACGGTGCCCAACTTCAAGCAGACGTAATTTGGCGGCAGCGAGCACCACATGCTGCCACGTACGCCCATGTGTAACCTTTATACTTTATAAGCAATTGCAGCTTGGCCCTCTAAAGGCGAGGCGACGAACTCGAAATGACAGCCCTCGAGACGAGACGCGCTCGAGCGTCAAAGTCTGGCCGGCTCGTCGTCGACGCAGTGAAGTAGCTTGGGTGCGCAATCATCAGATGCCAACCGCGACCGCTGACCAGATCCAGGTGCACTGCGATTACCAGACGCGATCAAGACCTGCGCGACTACAACAGCCCTTGCCATGGGTATTAGCAGGCGTGACTATTCCCGTCATCATCAACGGCGCGACTGCCAGTGCCGGCTCGTGAGTATATAAATATTGGATGGTGGCGTCCAATATATTGACATGAAATATTCTACCATTGCGTTGCCATGGCGTTTTCGAATCTGTTCCTGTGCATTTTATTTTATAGGATATCAATTCAATTGCAATTTTTATTAATATGGCGGCCGGAGGTCTGGTCGGAGATCAAATGGTATGCTAAAAGGTGGCATATAGTGTACGATGTATGGTGCATAGATCCTGCACCGTCCGCAATTGAAGCACGACGTCGCATTGGGCGCTGCAGCTGCCGACGAGACGCTCGCGATCCGCGAGGATCCGTTGCAAGCGATTGAGCAATGCAGACGCCGCGACTGCCTGCTGGTAAGTAGGCGGTAAAAGTCCCCGTGTCAAAATCTCTCTGCTCGGCGCTGAAACATTTTCCCGTAAAATGGTCAACGCGGCGGGAAAGCTGCAAAAATCGTGGATCTCGCGTACTAGTATTACCGACGAGTGTCTCTCACCTTTTGTGGGCTCTTGGTAATAATTCCTGGTCCTGGGCACCATGGTGTCGCATGCCCATCGCGTCTCTCCATCGATGTCGATCGTGTACGGTATGCGAGCGTACACTATTTGCGTCGCGATGGCATATTATATTGGCCATCGGCCGTTGAAAAACGATCAAATTAATATTCCTCGAAAGAGGCCAGTTTGAAAGTATTACGCACGCTATACAAACGCCAAGAGAAATAAAATAAAGTCGGGTAGGTGTCGCACCTATACGACTCGAAGGTAGGAGACCGGGCCACTTCCGGATCCTCCGACTCCAGAGACGAGCAGCAGCAGCATGGGCGGGTCCGCAGCCGCGCGCAGCTCCGAGATGGAGCTTGGCACCGAGTCCATCTCGATGGGACTACACTCGTTCGAAGACATCATGGACACGGACTGGGAAGGCTACATCTGGAAGCAAGGCCATGTCGTGCGCAACTGGCGCAACCGATATGCAGTCCTCTCGGGCACGTGCTTCACCTACTACGCCTCCAAGGAGGCCGCGTCCGCGGACCTTGAAAAGTACAAGGGCCGCGTGACCGTCACCGGCGCCAAGAAGGACCCGAGCCGCAGCAATGGCTTTGTCGTAACGACCTCGATCGACAAGCTCTTTACCATGTACACCAAGACGCCGATCGAGACCGAGCTCTGGATCCGCATGATTGAAAAGGCCGTTCAGAACGAATACATGCACTCGACGCTGCTGCCGCCAGCGATGCCCGACACGGTCGGCGAACTCTCGGCCACGCAGCCGCTGCCGTCGTCGCTCATGACGCTTACCGGCAACAATTTGAGCTTGAGCTTCAACGGCCGCACGAGCAACACGGCGATGAACGCGTCGCAGGCTGGAAGGCTCTCGCTCGGCAGCGCGCTGCCGTACAATGGCCGCCTCTCGGTGAGTACCGCGAGCTTCAGCGCGGCCATGGCGCCGCCGTCGATCCGGTCGTCGATCGACTGGAAGAATCGGAACGTGTCGACGACGACCCACTTTTACAACCTCTGGTCGACGTGCATCTCCAACTACGAGCGCAAGATGCAGGAGCCAAGCACGCTCTGCAACGAGCTCCTCGCGCTCTTCCCGCTCTGCTCGATGGACGTGGTCGCGAGCCTGCACTTCCCCGTCCCATTCATGCCGTCGTCGGTCTTCTATGGCCGCGAAGGCCTTGTCGACATGATGTTTGGCCTCGCGCAGTGCGTCTCGATCGCCGACATGAGTGTCCACCGCGTGCTCCTGAGCTCGCGCCCGAACGTCATCCTCGCGTCTGGCCGGAGCAAGCTCACGAACCGCCACCTGAAGAAGACGTTCGACTGCGAATGGAAGGACGAAGTCACCTTGTCGCCGGGCGGCCGCGTGCTCAGCGTCAAGATGTACATGGAGGTCGATCCGCAAGCGTTCTTCACGTCCGACTCAGACGAACGCGTCTCGCGCCTCAAGCAGAGTCTCCGCGCGACCGCGACCAAGCGCGTCTTGTCGCTTTCCATGCAGCACTTTACCGTCAAAAAGGTGCTCGGCCAAGGCACGTTTGGCACGGTATCGAGTCGTATCAATGTATCAAGACGCTCATGGATTCGTAGGTTGTTCTCACGGAGCGCAAGACGACGGGCGAGATCTTTGCCATCAAGATCCTCGACAAGAACTCGATGTCGACGTACGACAAGGTCCGGACGCGCACGGAAATGCGCATCCTCCGCGACGTGTACCACCCGTTCATTGCGCCGCTGCGGTACGCGAAGCTTTTTGTATCAATCTATCAAGATCTTGATGGCCGCGGTAGGTTTTCGTTTCAGAGCAACTCGCGCGTCTTTCTGGGCATGGAGTACTACCCTGGTGGCAGTCTCTACGTGCACATGAACAAGTTTTCGGAAGACGGCGACCAGCGCATCAAGCTGCCAATTGACATGGCGCGGATCAAGTTTTACGCCGCGCAGCTGGTCCTCGCCTTGTGCCACTTGCACGCGTGCGACATTGTGTACCGCGACCTCAAGCCCGACAACATTATGCTCGACAAGGACGGCAACGTGGCGCTGGTCGATTTCGGCCTGAGCAAGACCAACGTCCGGTCGCTCGAGGGCGCGCGGACGATGGCGGGGTCGCCGGCGTACACGGCGCCCGAGCTCCTCAAGCCCAAGCGCAACCGTGAGTACGGCAAGGCGGTCGATTGGTGGTGCCTCGGGATCCTCTTGTACGAGATGATGTTTGCCCGCCGGCCGTTCCACCACCCGAACGTCTCGGTGCTCTACCGGCTCATTGACAAGGACCCGGTCAAGTTTCCGAGTCGCCTCCCGATCGCGCACGAGGCCAAGTCGCTCATTGTGGGCCTCTTGGAGAAAGACCCGACGAAGCGCCTCGGCGCCCACCACGCGTCGGACATTCTCGTGCATCCGTTCTTCAAGGGCGTGGCGTGGGACCAGGTGCTCAAGAAGAAGATTACGCCGCCGTGGAAGCCTGACACGAGCAAGGAGCTGCCAACGTCGCGCCGCACCAACACGGACCTCGGGCGCATCGTCCAGAGCAAGACGCCGGCGGCGACCGCGTCGAGCTTCTTCAACATTTTTGGCTGGCGACCGATGGAGACGCTGGCGCGCCGCCAAGAGAAGCTCCAGGCGCAGCAGCAGAGCATGCAAAACGCTTTGGCCACTTTAGCTACGTCTGCGACTCGACGCCGTCGTTCCTTGTCGACGAAGACGAGATGCTCGACTCTGCGTTTAGCGGCCGGCGAAGCGTTCAACTCGAAGCGCTCGCGATCGAAGCATGATCGACTCGTACAACCTCACTTTTCCTATTGAATCGCGTCCATAATCATCCACCTTATCGTTATTGTACAATATCATGTTCCGTTTCAAAGACAACATGGTACCAGAATGACAGCCTTGGCGTGGGAGGTGACCACGCCTCGTAGACCTTGACCGTCGCCGGGAGAGCCGCAGCACGAACACACGTCCAGCAAGAAAAGTGCAATGTACTACCAAGCAGGAGACGTCCTTCTCACTGACGCCGACGTACTCGGCTCGCGTTCGAGAAGGCACGTGCGAGTGGAGCTCCAGAGCGCGCCATATCGTTTCGAGCTGGTTTTGGATTGGGCAAAAAACAGTGTATTTTTCAACATTTTCTGTTTCGATTGCAGAGTATGCCATGTAGTGCACCCAAGTCGATGCGTGCCAGTTGCTTCGGCTACAACCTAGTACACGAGTTGTAGATGTCTACTATCGTGTAATATGGTTTACAAGGACGCGAGGTAGGCTTCGATCGCAAACACAAAGGGCTGCACGCCCCAATTGATCGACACGTGCGCGTCAAGGGCGTGGATCGAGACCGCGCCCGCGACGTCATCGCCCTCCAAGACGCACGGCGCCTCTCCGAGGAGCACGCCGTTGAGTGTAAAGAAGACAGTCGCAAGGCTTGGGACATGGCCGACGCCAACGACGTCGCCGGCATCGGCGCTAAAGAGGCGGTCGGACCAGTGCGCAAAGGCACCCGGAGACTCGACCATGGCGCTTCCATCGTGGTAGACGAGGCCGGGGCCGTGCGTGTGGTAGCCCACCGAGTGCGGATGCCACCCGACGTGCGCGTCCGAGCCAAAGCCGTAGGCGCGCAGGTCGCGGAGCGAGACCATGCCGGCGCTCACGTACGTGGTCGTGCGGACTTCAAAATACGTGGCGCCGTCCTGGCAGAGCGCGGGCAGTGGCGGCAGCGGCCCCGACGAGCGCACCGAGTCGACGGTTCCGCGGTCAAAGCTGCGCAGCATCGAGTTGTTGAGGACAGTGAGACTGTAGGTATCGGGATCGAGCGTCGTCTTGGCACGCGTCGAGACGGGCACGCGGAGGGCCTTGCGCCGGCCATGGAGGCCGCGGATGTCGCGCCATGTGCACGCCGTGTACGTCCGAGGCAGGTCGTGGCCCCACGTCCGCGCATGCGCCGCCATCCACAGCACCGGGCTCTCGGCGACGACCCGGAAGTAGCGGCAGACGAGGCGCGCCTGCAAGAGCGACGCGACGTCCATGCATTCAAAGATGAGCTGCCACACGTGGTCGTCGAGGCGCTCCTCGACCCACTGGACGATCTGCGGCGCCGCTTCCGTCTGCGCCTTGGCCGCGGCCTTGCGCTGGCTCTTGGTCTGCTTCTTGCCCTTGATCGGGATGTTCATGATCATGGCCGGGCGGCTGGCTGGCCGCCGGTCCCGCGACGCAACCGTCGCGTACATGGCCGAGCAAGTCCTGGGACCAATTGATGTCTAGAGTCCTAATTGAAGCACAAAATAGGATGTGGCAGCGTCGAAATTCGGACATGAGAAGCCTAGTGAAGACCACTGCTGATGGCGCTTGCAGAAGAAGAGGGGACGCTCCTCAAAGCGGCGTGGCGTACGAAGCCAAGCAAGCGTTCGCATCATGCAAGCGCAGGAGTGTGAGGAAGGTCCAGCGCATCCAAGATGGGAGTGCTGACGAGGCCCATTGTACATATTTGCCGTCGCCAACTTGAAATTGTATCAAATCGATCTGGTCTCGTTGGTGATCATTGGGTGATTTGTAGACAGAAGTCTGGAAGGTATCAAAGCAGCGCAGCCGCAGGTTGCCACATGTCGTTCGATTGGCTCAGAGGTTGATACTATTGGGCAATTCAGCGAAAATTATTGGAATTAAACGTGCTTTTTGTAATCACGAGTTGATACATTGAGTTAAAGGCGAGCAGCCCGCGTTTGCTTGTTGGCGTTTTTTATCATTCACCAATTCGCCCGGCCCCGAGCAGACGAGTGACGACAAGCATGGCTGCACGTTCGACGACTTTTGCCATGACGAGCAAGAGACCCTCCAAGAAACATGCCAAGAAAGGTTCCTTCAAGCCGAAGAAGACGACTCTCACGACGTCGAAGAAGAAGAACGAAAAGTGCACGTGGACGCCGAACGAGGTACGAAGTCTTTCGCCGGGCCGTCCCTTGCGTCAATGCATGTTTCGTGTCTAGGACTTGGTTGTCATGCTCACGGACACGAATACAAAGACATGGACCGAGGTCGCCAAGCTGTTGCCGGGCCGCGATCCCCATGACTGCCGTCAACGCTTTCATAGCCTCCGAGCGGGGAAAAAGGGTCGCTGGAGCGAGCTCGAAGCGGCCTGGCTTTGCTACGCGATGTACATCACGCAACACGTGCCTCACCACGGACGGTGGCTCCTAGTCGCCCGCATCGTGGGCACCCGGAGGTAGTATCTTCAACGATGGACGCGCGGGATTTTCAGCCTGTGTTGTAGCTACAGACAAGCTGTGCCCAAGTGGGCGGCTATGGAGGCGAAGGGGACGGCAGTTGTGCTGACGTCGAAGCCGGCCGAGGCAACCGAAGACCAAGAGGCGGCGATCAACAAAGCGACAAACCTGGACCAAGCACCAACCATGCCAATGTTGATGGCGTCCGACCTGTACACGACGTGGACAGAGGTCACAGACGAGGTCATGGACGAGGCCACGGACGAGGTCACGGACGAAGACGTCGGTGCATTTTTGAGCGACGTGCGTTTTGGGGACGACGCGATGCTTGGTACCACCGTGGACGCCAGCGGTGTCGTGGCCGCCAACGTGACGACGGATGACTTCTCGATGTACGATATCGGGATCCAAGTGCCCTGCCCGATGAAGGATTTTGCGCCCGCGCCCGTCGCCACTGCCACCCTCGTCCACGTCGCCAGTGCGAGCGCCGCTGCCGACTGGTTCCGCACCGATTTTCTGCCCCGCTTCCACGCGCAGCAAGTGGCCTAGCTCGGGCGCGCCAGCGACAAGCTAATTTTTGTAAAAAGTCTTTCTTACTATAGACGTTGTGTACATGTTTGTTCCTTGCACCGAAAACTCGTCTGCGGAGGCGACGGTGCGTTTTTACTGAGCGGACGCGTCGCGTTATTTGGGTGTGTGTTTCCAGCCAGATTTCCATTCGCCATGTCTCTCGGGTTCCTCACCGAGTCGGCGCTCGTCCCGTCCAAGGCCAAGGCGATCAAGGTCGACTCCAAGTCGATCGTCGACCTCAAGGCGCTCGTCTTCCGCGAGCAGGAGCGCAAGAAGGCGGCCACGGAGGCCTCGGGGCTGCGCTCGAAGCGCGGCGCGCGGGCCAAGGAGCTCCAAGCCGGCAAGAAGTCCGAGACGAACGCCGGCATCGAGAAGCGGCGGCAGCGCGACGAAGACGAAGAAGCCCTCGGCGACGACGAGCGTGCCAAGAAGAAGCGGTCTCGGCAGATACTCATCGAGAAAGCCAAGCTCTACGATCAAATGGCCCGCGGCGAGCGACCAGCGACTGGCGACGTGCTCATCAACTTTGACGCCAAGACGACCCATCGGGACCATGAATTCACGGAGGCTGCGCCCAAGCCCGCAGCTGACGATGGCGAATGGGTCGAGATTGTCGACGAGTTTGGCCGGACCAAGAAGGTGACCAAGCACGAGTACGAGGCCTCGTTGCCGCCGCCACCACCGACCGAGGGCTCGAAGAGCGTGGGCAGCTTCGTCGTCTCGCAGTGGGAAAAGACGCTCAACTCGCAGGAGAAGAGCTACTTGACCGAGGTGCACGCCGAGGCGCAGCACGCCAAGCTCACGCTCGCCGACAAGAAGCGGCAGAAGGAGCAGCGCCGCGAGAAGCTCAAGCTCGCTTTCAACAACAAGAGCACGCCGGCCGTTGCGCCATCGAGCGATATTTCAGCCCAAGCCTCGCGGGACGCTTCGGATTTCTTGTCCAGTCTCTTGTAAGACGCAACGAGTTTGCACACAATGCGATGACTTCTGTATCTTGATCAAGGAGCGATTGCTATGCAGTGTCATCCTATTCCATGTCGACCTCGCGGTCCAGGAGAAACGAGCCATCTAGCCGAGCGAAGTCGTTAGCAGTAGTGGCATGCTATCAATCGCTACCAAAGACGTCTACGCGATGCATGGGGGTTCGCTGCGAGGGAGAAGTACTAGGCTTTGGCCCAGACTTGGTGTCGACTGCTGTTGTTATTGTCACCTCAGTATTCATTCGAAAGGGCGCGAGATTCGTGTGAAAAATATCAAGTTGAAGGGAAATACTGGGTAGGTACACACGACATTGTAAAGGGCGAATGAAACACTGCCGTGGCCAGACTTGTTAAAGAACAAGAGAAGCGAGCTCATGTACTAGAACGGAGGCGGGTTGCGGTTGTGACGGCTCCGACACTCGACCCACGCGCCTCGTAGGATCGGGTTCAACTCAAGAACCACCTCGGCGGGAAAGCGCCCGGGAAGGGCCGTGTCGTCCGGCAGTGCCAAGAGCCGACGAGCATCCATTCGCACGGGCGTGTCGACTGTGATCGGGATCGGCTCGACGAGGGCTGGATCTGGTCCTTCAAGCTCGTTGTTAGTGATCGAGACGAGCTTGTACTGGCGCACTTCCATGGCAGGCGAGACAAAGACGCAGAGCACGTAGCGAATGCCCGGAAAGGTGCAGTACTGGGCGACCTTGCGGTTCATGCTTCGCCAGCCTTCGTTGATGCCGACCTCGACCTTGAGCGTATGGAACTCGTTCCAGCGAAGGTCGTCGGGCCAGTCGGGAAAGATGGCGTCAGTCTCCATCGCGGGACCGAAGCTGCAGTCGGGCGATAGCTTGGGCAGCTTGCTGGCCGCTGGTTCAAGGGTCGTGTCGACGTATGCGTCGCGGCAAGCCTCGAGGACTCGATAGTCCGTCCCCGTGGCCTCCGGTCTCGTGGCCTCTAGCATCGCGACGTCGATACCACCTGCAATGCTAGCGTGAAGACCACCGCTCATCTCGATGAGATAAATCGAGTCGTCTCTAAACTCAAAGTGGCGCGACTTCATCGCTTGGTCTTCCGACTCGACGTAGCGCTCCCAGTCGGCCTCGGTCGCAGAGCACACCCGGAAGCCGTCGTTATCGATGACGTCAAGGGCGGCCTGCGCGCCATCCCAGTCCAGAGCCTCGATCGCTTGGTTGATGCGCTTCACTGGGTCGACAGAAGCACGTGTGATCGTCTCGGCGTTCGTTGTCGCCGTCGTTGGTGGCGTGACCATCTTGGCAAAGATTCAACTCTGGCAACGTTGCAATCCGGATAAAATCTCACTAAGATCTCGCTGCGCCTTGTTTCAAGTCTTGCGCGAGCGAGCGTTGGATTTTCTTGCAGCCTTGATGCGAGCCCAACGACAACTCGATCTCTCTCAAATCTCTACATTAGCTCTCTCGCGGCAGTCGCCAAGAACCTTGTCGACCCAGCGCGGCGCGAGATGGCGAGCGGTTCAAGCTTGCTTGTATGTCTCAAGCGGTCGCCCACAGTTCGGCTCGCACGATCGCCGCAAGTGTACATTCTCGGGCACCACCTCCGCGTCCAGGAGCGTAGTTCGTTGGCCTCCAAGTGACGACGATGTCCTGATGCTGCCAAGAGGTTATATGGACAATCGACAGCCAGGTGGGCCCAACCCGGCGTCCAGGACATCAACGAGGCTCTCTGTTTGGACAAGTTGTCTAGAGCTGTCAGACAAGTGTGTCGCGAGTTTTGTAAACATGTTGGACGTATTGTCTGTTTGACAGACGACAGCTGGATGGGAGCGATGCACGAGACTGCATTCGCCTTCCGTGCGGCGTCGACGTCACACCCGCTTTATACATGGAATATGTCTATGATGGCCATAACTTAGTTCAAAATCGCACAAAACTCCGGTGGCGCAGTCGTCTAGTAAAAACAAAACCGGAACGAGTCGAGCTCTTCGGCCGTAATGATGCCTTCGTCGCTCGAGTCGTCGTCGCCATCGACGAGCGTCTCGCACGCGTCCGTGAGGTCGACCGAGTCGCTTCGCACACTCAGCGTGCGCTTTGGCTTGCCCAGATGGACGTCGCGCGGCAGCTTGATGTCGAGGGGTACGAGCTTGGCCGGGCGGCCGACCGCACCATGGCCCGTGCGAGCGCGACCATCGGATCCACGAGAAGCATCCCATAGATCTCCGAACCCGTGAGCGCAAGCGGGATCTCTGTGCAGCCGAGGATCGCGACCTGCGCGCCCATGTGCGCGAGCAGCTTGGCGTAGCTCTGAAAGTTTTGCACGGCGCGCGGGTGGATGCTCGGCGACGTGCTCTTGATGCCCCACTCGGTGTTGTAGATCGAGTCGTTGAGTGCGTCCTGCACATGGTCGGGGACTTGCACCACCGTGTAGCCCGCGGGTTCCAGCCGGTCGTGGAAGATGCGTGCGCGGCGTGACCCGGTCGTCGACATGACGCCAATGGTCGTGGCATGGGGCGCAAGCATGCCAATCATCGCGACAGCTTCGTCGAGCATGTGTAGCAACGTCACGCGGTCGGCGGCGTGCTGCGCAGCCACGAGCGCGGCAAACGTGTCCCAGATCGGCGACGCATGGAACGTGTTGCAGGGCACGCCGACGACGAGGCGCGCCGACCGCGCTTGGGCCGCGAGCACGAGCATGCTCAAGCTGCGCGCCATGCCATATGCAGGATTCTCGATCGCATCGTCGTGCTCGGTGTCGCCCGCTTCAAGCTGCGCGAGGTACGCCGGCCGCGCCGCCATGTCGGCCGAGCGCGAGATGTGCACGACGTCGAGGTGGCCTTGGTCGGTCCCGTCGTTCAGCGTGTTGCGGAGGATCTCCTGGTGCAGGACGAGCCCGGCCGCGGGCCCGACGCCGCCGAGGATCCCGACCAGCACTTCGCCATTCATCTACGAAACGGATGTCCCGGCTGGCGATCCGGATACGCTGGCCTATATAAACCGGATGATGGCTCGGCTGGATTCGGCCATCCGAGCACGGGAGGCTGCCACGTACAGCGCGTCGCATTTCTCTGGAAGGATGGCTACTTCCGAAGCCGTCAACCTCGTTGGGGTACTGAGATGGCGGCTGAGCAACAGAGTTCGTCGCAACTGCGCAGGCTATCCTACCGAGGAGGGGATACTCCCGCCGACCCATCAAATTGAAGGCGACTCGATGACGACGCGGCTGGAGGTGTCCAGCTGGCACCGACGCTCCCTCGCCTTCGCACAGCCGTACTACTGCTGCGAGTACTACGCGTTGTCGCTCCTATGAGGTCATATGTAGTCTTGCATGCGTTGGTCGAGGCTGCTTGGCCGCATGGTGGGAGTACTGTAGCACGGCCCCTCGACTGGCCATAAGAACGCATATATATCCGTGCATGTGCAATCTCATGATGGCCTTGGACGCCGCGTCAGCAGCCAGAACAACGCCGCCTTCCTCGACCTTGTCACCTTCTCGCTCTCGAGAAATGGCCTTTGGTGTCGCACGCGGTGGTTGATTTTGGCCAATTTTTGCTTGCTGGCTGCTGTCGCACGCGCCCCAGCTTGGCGGCTACTCGCGTCGTCGGTCCTGTCCGTGCCAAGGAAGAAGACGAAGATCCATCTTGTGATGGCTCTCGACGCTAATAGCGTCGACCTCGTTGAAGTGACAGTCGGTCAGCCGCGGCTACTGTGTCGTCCGTTTATTGTATTCACTTGTGGTTTGTATGTCGCACGGTTAAAAATAGACGCGGCCTTTCTGCTGTCGCCAGCATTTGATCTTGAACTTTGTATTGGATCTTTTGGAGTTTCGAAATATTCGGCGCCCATACAAACGTCAATATGGCCGCATCAAGCAATATCGAATATCGCGCTGAGGGTGTTACTTGGCAACTTGCAGCCGCCCCATCAGCACAGCAGCAGCATGGAGGTCGGCGCCCGCGTCTGGGT